CCTAGCTCGGCAGTCTCCCCGTCACCTGAGACTGTCGCGGCAGTAGAGGAGCTTGGGCGGCGGAGTGGGGTGCACCTCAGTGCGACACAGCAGCGGCAGCTGCAGAGCCTCTTGGCAGAGTTTATGGACACTTTTGCCGCCAGGGAAGAGGACTGCACAAGGACGGGCCTGGTGCAGCACACTATAGACACTGGAGCAGCTGCTCCAATCCGGCTGCGGCCCCACCGCCTGCCCCTCGCCAAACGCCAAGCTGCCGAGGGACTGATAAAAGAGATGGCAGCTAATGGCGTCATTGAACCCTCGGATAGTCCATGGGCCGCACCTGTGGTTATGGTGTGGAAGAAAACAGGGGGGTGGCGCCCTTGTGTGGACTACAGGCGTTTGAACACGGTCACCCGCAAGGACTCTTACCCGTTACCTCGCATCGATGACGCACTGGATTACATCGCTGGGTCCAGTTGGTTCAGCTCGCTAGACCTCCGCAGTGGGTACTGGCAGGTGGAGCTCGCTGCCGAGGCGCGGCCCAAGACTGCATTCACCATAGGGCAAGGACTGTGGCAGTTTAAGGTGATGCCTTTTGGACTATGCAATGCACCAGCCACGTTTGAAAGGTTAATGGAAAGGGTCCTCAAAGACATTCCCCGTGCCCGCTGCGTGGTCTATTTGGATGACTTGCTGACTCATGCTAAGGACTTTGAACAGGCCGTGGCTAACCTACGAGAGGTTCTGACTGCCATCCGCGGGGCCGGACTAAAGCTGAACCCGGCCAAGTGCAACCTTCTTGCTCGCCAGGTGAAGTTCCTGGGACATGTGGTGAGCGAAAAGGGGGTGGCTACTGACCCCGAGAAGGTGGTTGCTGTGGGGGACTGGCCCCCCCCATCGAACGTCGCCGAGCTACGAAGCTTCCTGGGGCTGGCCTCCTATTATAGGAGGTTTGTAAAAGACTTTGCCACCGTCGCCAGCCCCCTGCATCAGTTGACAAACAAGGGTCAGCGGTTTGCTTGGACGGAGGACTGTGCAACGGCTTTTGAGCAGCTGAAAACTGCCCTTGTGAGTGCCCCGGTCTTGGCGTATCCTGACCCCAGCCAGCCTTTCCTTTTGGACACTGACGCCAGCAACGTGGGGGTTGGAGCGGTGCTCTCCCAGAGGGGAGAGGCTGAGGAGCGAGTGGTGGCCTACTACAGCTGCAGCCTCAGCCGGGCCGAGAGGAATTACTGTGTTACCCGGCGTGAGCTGTTGGCTGTGGTCCTGGCGGTTTGTCATTTCCGACCTTACCTCCTGGGCACTAAGTTCCTGCTCAGGAC